CATTTGGTGTAGACTGTGAATTGACTATCACAGTTAAATTCCCAATATGGCCACCACTACCGAACTGGATTACTAGCCATCGCATTGCATTCTTAATTTCTGTTTTTGTTAAATGGTTGGAGACAGTGTGCAGGAATCCTTGATAACAATTTTCAATTTCTTGACATGAAGGACGAGACCTAGGTCGAACTCTTGCTGGCAATCCCCTCCAACCATATAACATTTAGTTTACTTATTCTCCCATCACGAACTCTTTGACAATGTCTGAACATTAACCTAATGTTATTTTAGTGTGGGAGCTACTGGAAAAGTATGGTGTGCCCAAGGTCTTTGTCAACCTCATTCAAAAGTTGGCTATATGAATAAGAAGGACAATAATGCCTATCATCACCTATAATATTCCTCACTGTGAGTAGCGAGAAGGCAGAAATACTTTGGACCAATACAAAGACTCTAGGTTTTAAGAAGGACTAATGTCACATAAATTCGAAGGCGAAAACCAACAAACTGAGAGAAGAGGAAGACAGCGAAGACAGGACTTCAAGTGAAAAAAGAGAGGACGGAGGTGAAGACAACTAAACAATCAAAGACAACCACCAACATCAGTGTTATCATCAACTGGGTAAATTTGGAAGAGGTAACTTCCATCACCTATCTAGGAAGCGTCTTTTCAGCCACAGGTGGAATGGATGTGGATGTCAAAACCGGAAGTGGAAAGGCAAGATGACACCTTCACCGCTGTGAAATGAGTCTGGAAATCTTCTGCACTCAGTCAACATAAACAACACAAATTTGCAGTCAGTTCTTCTGTGTGGGTAAGAAACTTTGCGTCGGTGTCACGAAAAGTATTTCCAACAGGTTGTAGACTTTTATCAACATCTACCTTCGCCAGCTCCATACTGTAAAAATCAAATGGCCAGAAAGAATTGGAAGCAAGAAACTATTGGAACAGACAAACCAGTTGACCTATTACTCAACAAATATGTAGGCGAAAATGGAGATGCATAGGTCATCCGAGTGTGACATGGAGGATATAGTGAGAGGAGGAGATGAGAGACTATGGTCAATCATGGGTCCATCTGAAAAGAACAGCAGAAAAAAAACAGAGATGTGTTGTCGAAGCCCTATGTTCCACTCGGAACACAAGAGAACGATATAATTATAATTTTAGTTGACGGCTGTGACATAAGCCCTGTGCCAGTTGGCGCACAATCGTTCGAGTTGGGTCTTAGGCATTTGATATTATGAATGTTTTGGTAGACTGGACAGGAATTAGACTATTTTATCTGTTGGTAATCTCAGAGGATATCATGGTGTCGACCTCATGACCTGTGTCGACGAGACAGTGACATTATGGAAAGCGTTTATTCCTTTGAGGTATAAGCTTTTTGGTACATGTTAAGAAAATCGCAGGTGTACCCAGAAGGACTATGTTTCAATAAAAACAAACGCTTTCTATAATGCTGTTGGCGGAAGGTTAAACAAGATTGTCCAATCAAGTCATTTCATGATCCATATTCGAAGAATAAAATGTTGATTTGGTTTTCATCCGCTTTCTATCGGTTTCCATCATGTCACAAGTGTACCTATGCTGCTGCACTGAATACAGCTTTTACTGTTTTCTTCACAGGTGTTGCGTTACTACATTCCTCAATTCTATCACCAAAGAACTATGCATATGTACAAATAACTGTAGAGCTGGATAAAAATGAAGTTACCAAAAACAATATTCTTTCCGCTTAATCCTTATCCATTTCCTTGCATTCATATTCAGTAGTGGAAAATTAAACCTGTTGTACACAAAGCCATGTCTGTGAACGTATTTCGGAACACTGTCTAGTTTGGTCACCCAGACGAGATTATCTTGTCAACTTTGAACAATTGGCACCTGCATATGACTGCTTCACACATAACTCGAGTTACTGTGAAACTAAATAATATACGAAATGAAATCTCTTCACACAGTGGTCCATAGAGTTCGCCAATATCACACATACACGACAGGACTTCACTACATCCACATTCAACCAAAAATTTGCTGATTTCATATTAGAACTAAATAGAGTCAATCCATGTGAAGTATGTGACAGTTGGACTGAACCAGACAGGTATAGATTGCCTGGCTGGAGTCTTAGAAAGCAATAGTTTCGAACTGTTGATGGTATATCAGCAGCTCTCCTTAAGCAAGAATACACAACGGCATGAGACGCTAAGGATAAGCTAGAGGTCACCAAACGGTGGTTCACGACCGCTCCTTATGATGTTGCAAGCAGCTTGCACCCATTCTCTCTGAGAATGTACAGGGAGTTTCAAGATCAGTGTTCAATAGTCTTACCAGAAGTCAAATCTGAAGTATAATTCATTCGCTGGAGCTTGTATACATCCATCTCACGAGACAGCTTTCTCAAAGAACTGCATCGTTACACCTAACACTTGGAAAATCAAAAACCTTGTCCATGAAGGGCGGGGCCACGACATGTTTTCGCCCAAATGCCTCCTCTAACAATAATAATAATTTGCTTTATTCCCAAACAGTATTTGTGATACAGAATAGAATTCTCAGCATTTCACTACAGGATTGCATCCACTTAGTACATTAACAATAAATAAAACTCTACATAGATCATGGGTAGTCTCAGTTAATTTTGACAACATATTAGCATATCGATAGCAAAGCCAAAAGTGAACAGAATGTTTGAAGGTGTTAGAAAAGTAGATACTGGCATACTTACTGGCGTAAGCGGTAACAAAAAGATCGAGATATACAGAGTGTGAGAGAACGAAGAATGTTTTAACAGAGTTAGTAAGGAAGAGAGAAACAAAGCACTAGTTTGTTTAGGTCAGATTTATGCCTAAAAGTGAAATTGACTGTTTGGCATATGGAGGGGTTTAAGGTTTTGGAATAAAGTAAGATACACAGTCTAGGCCTTACTATAGTTAAAACACATCTGACTTGGTGTAAGTTTTATCCGTTTCTAAAAGATAGATGAAATAATACGATTACACAGAGATAACAATACAAAACCAACTGTCCTTCAGGAAAGGTCAAAGACGTACCGAACACTACTGATGTGTGGAACAAAGTAGTTGCTGAATTACACTCACATTCATATAAAAAGATAGAATACAACATTCATCCAGGGTCAGTGTCAAGTGGTGGGCATTTACAACACTAAGCTGACCAATAATCACATGATTATCATTGATTGGTGGATTGTCATAAAATCTGTTTATCATGATAAACATAACAGTTCCAGGTTTGCCTATGATTAGGAAATAAACACAACTTCATTGAAAAACTTAAATAAATCGCCCTGTAACCAAGTCATTCCTTTCTAATCTCAATTTTTTAAAACTTTGTGCACACGATTAGATAAATAAGTAGTAAAGCAGCTTTTTCTGTGAATGTGAACCGTAGGTATTTCGTTTCGAATAGATATCATGCATCCAACCGTATAACCGCAGGAATATAGTTCTTTCCTCATGTTGCATTACCATATTTAGGAGAGAGTTGACCAGCAGAAGCAGTCAACGAGATTATTCCCGGTAGCAAGTCAATCCCTGAGTCGCTGAAGTCACTTAGGGTTAAGTCCATTAACACATCTATGATGAAGTTGAATAGAAAAGGAGATAATGGGCATCCTTGACGGACACCACCAGTCGTCATCAGTTCAGATGACAGCTCGCCGTAAGCCCTCACCTGGCTGTATGAGTACGAGTAGAGTGCCTTAATCAGTGCAATATATTTTCTTGGAATTCCCTTTACAGCCAAGCTTCTCCAGAGAACTTCCCGATCGACAGAGTCGAATGCTGCCTTTAGGTCAAGAAATATAATGACTGTTGGACGCCGGTAGGAATGCCTATGTTCTAGAATCTGTCGGAGGGTGAAGATATGATCAATACACCCTCTTCCTGGTCTAAAGCCTGCCTGGCTCTCTTGTGTTTGTGCTTCCCGAGCACCAACTAATTACAGCAGACATAACGCGTGAAATTTCGATTCGTAGGTATATGGCTTAACTTTCCAAGAAACGGTTACAAACAGTACAGGTTAACCTTCAGTAAGAAAACAATCAATCAGAAGGCGTTGCTTCTCTGCTAACAATAACGCTAATAATAATATACACAAAAATCTATAGATATCACTTCATTTTCTCAATAAACGATTCGTTGTCTGGACGTGTCTTCTGTTGTTACAAGTGGAACATAAGAAAACTTATCCTACATTTAAAACGATCTACCTTGATAAGTTAAATAATCTCTAAAATAAAACTGCATGGTCTATGAACATCTTAGTGGAGTGGGTGAGTAAATATTGAGCCTAGGCTTCGGTCGAGTGTTAGGTAAGGAAGGAATATCAATCAATCACGTTGCGAAGTTCCACCGACCGAGATGGTTAGGAAATGTGTTACGCCTAGCCGATGATTTAAAAAGGCTGTACCAGCAGAAATATATGGAAGACAGAACAATTACATTGAAAAATAACATGAGGACCTTAAAGGTAAACGAGTTAACACAAGCAGTCAACGCAAATTCGTCAATCATGGCCTCTTAGATTCCTGAGGATCCCAATCAGCTGGGCGGTCTACACGTCCCCAGTTGGTCGAGGGATCTATTTTAGTTCAACTACTCTAAACTCCTCTTTCTCTCTCTTCCAATTGATCTAACCTTATGTCAACTGGCATTTTCCTAAATGACGAAGCCGGTGATAGCTCGCAGCATGCGCATATAAACACGTATTGTTCAACCCATCTCTTATCAATCGATGCAGGAGAGCTACGCGATCTCATCCCATACACTGGTGATAGATGATAAGCACTGATGCCGAAGAGCTTCCGCTCCCACTCAAAGGCACAGACAAAACTCACTAATCAATTTAAAACAACTTAATATGATTGATTCCATTATCAAATGAATGAATTTTTTTATTATTGATAATAATCAGCGTGAACCGAGAAAAAGGAACCAAAGAACAGAACAAAACAGCAAAACAATATGTATATGCGTACATGTTTATATTTATAAATGTCGGTTTGTGTTTGTGTGTGCGTGACAATGGAGAACAATGTCACGAAGGAAAAACCAGCAGAGGAGAGAAGAAGACATGAGTGGAGTAGATTGATCGGGAGTAAATAGGATAGATATGCATTGAACATCATCATTATCGTCATTGTCAACGGTCACATCATCATCACATTTCAGCATGCATTCACTACTTCTAGTAGGTGGGGGAGAGGCGGGATGAGTTGTTTATCATATCAAATCAACACCAACAACAACAGTAACAGAACAGAGGAGTTAACAAGAGAGATAATTGACTGGTTGGCTATCTGATTGACTGACTGACTCTGTTCAAGTTCAGTAAATCTTTGTTGATAGTTGTGTCATGAATCATCACATCATTCCAATAAAGACGAAACAAAAGAAATACGGAATAAAAAACATGGTTTGACATGAACGAAGTCATGAACTGATTTTTTTTCCAATGAATTAAGGCGCTGTCATATAAATCTTGCATACAGCATCGGCGCCAGCACTAGCCGCTAATGGTAGTTGTGGATGTAGTGCCACTGAATGAACAGATTCATCATACTTGAAACCATGATTTGTCATCTCTTGTACACAAGAATGTGTCTCCATATCCCATACACGAATTGAAGCGTCATGACCTAAACAGAAAATGGAGAGAAAAATGATATGTAGATGGATTATGCTTTATTGGTTATGTGGTGATCAATGTCCAGTGTGGAAATAAATCAATGAGAATTGCTCAAAGTAAATGCTGTCTGGGATGTAGGTTATTCCAGCTGACAAGTCTCAGTAGCATTCCCTAGACAAATCACATCAACCCCCCCCCCCCTAAATAACCGACTCAATACATCGATATTACAATAGAAGAGAGAGAAAAACGAAAGGAACCAGTACAGGCTTTACAACTACCATGGACGTAGTTCGGTATGTTCCCTTCAGTTTTTTGTTTTATTATCTGTGTGTAATTTTCTCTCTTTGCCTTCATTCAATTCATTCTATTTTTCGGTTATAAAATCAGTTATTTTGAGTTTGTTTCCATGCTTTTCCTGTTCAAACTTGTAATCCGTTTAGAATAACCATTTTAAATTTATATTCTAATCCTGTGTAATTTTTTGTTTCTATGCCTCTTGTCATCTATATTCGCACACCCCTAACTTACATTTCAAGTTGAAAATTAATATTATTATTTCAATTTGTTTCCATGCTCATTTTGTTCACACTTGCAGTTCGTTCTATCCCTGCGTAATTTTTGTCTCTATTAAGTTGAAAATAATTATCACCTTCTACTCGCCTTTAAAATTATTTCTCCAGTTATCAAATATTAATTTTGCATACGTTGTAACTGTTTTCTAATCCTATGCAATCTTGTCTCTAAGCCCCTTGTAATCTATAATCTATACTCGTACCTTCAAACTTTCATATCAAGTTGGAAATTATTATCACCTTCGATACTATGTGGAATTAAACAAATAAGAATTGTATCCATGTAAATTAATCTATATAAATGCGATTGTACAGCTGCTTTTGAGAATGAAATCGCCGAAGATATCTTTGCTGAGCTTCTTGTTCTTTTCAAAAAAACAATACAGTATATCAACTTACAAATATAACTTTATAAATGTATATCAACTTACTTCCTGTTAACAAATACAAACCATGCGGATCGACAGCGAGACTTGTAACAGCATTCAAGTGAGTAATCATTGCATCAACACAAGCTGTATTTGTTGTCAATGATCGATCAGACATTCGATTGATATCATACAAACGAATACACCGGTCTTCATGTGCACCGATGACCAGAGAAAGAGTCTGATGTGAACCTAATGCATTGACAGCACGATCAGTCCAATCACCAGATGGCGGTAGGTTACATTTATCTGTGTCTGGGATATTACCTAAACAGAGTAGAGAAATTGAAGAACATAATACATACGAATCAACGATCATCAATAGAGTTATGTCAACATAACCTATACGTATTCTCAAGAGTTATTTTGTAGGGATTTGATTTGTTTCAAGTTTGCCTACAGATTGATATCAGTTACAAGAACCATTGAAACCAGCCACAGGGTGTCCCAGTCAGCTGTTTCGTCTTCCACTAATGGAACTCATCGTTTATATGCAGACACCACTGGGTCCCGGTTACCCGGAACCTTTCATCAGTTACAAGGAAAGCTCGTAGACTGTCCAGCCACTGGGATTCTAACCAACGGTGAGTGCATGAATTCTAACTTCTACCAATTAATGATTTTTGCGCGATCGGCACCAACCAGTCTTCACAAACAAAGAAGCATACACAGAAACAACAGAATTATGACAGCTCGCTTATTACAGAACAACTGCATGACACTGTACAAGTAGTTTTACAGAGATGATACGCCACTAGTGAGTAACACGTACGCGCACACTCGACGTGCAATCTCAGGGAATTCCTCCTTCAAGGAAAAAAAATCAAAATAACACCTAAACGTACCTAAATTGAGCGGATCATCTTCACCGGGTTTCGTTAATAGTGGAGGAGGAGGTGGAATTTGGTTGATCACTTGACCAGTTTGAACGTCTAACAACGCCAACCAGCCTGTACTTGTGCCGACAATACACTGTGAGGCAGTCAGTGAGTCTGGACGATTGACCAAGAAGTGTAGACATGTTGGACGACCAAATTCAGGTTGATCAGAATCTAAATTAATTAATGAAATCATGTGAATTATTAACGACATATTGTTGTTATTATGAATAATAATGCTATAATACGCCATAAAACTGAAATCCTCGTTATGCATACAAGTGGTTTACTGGGATATGGTTAGTGAAATTTGAAGAGGCTTACTGTCTTTCACTACAGGCGTGTTCTGCTTCCCGCACGCTTTTGCATAGTGTAGTGTAATATCCTGGGCAACATTGAAGCCAGAAGTGGAGAGTGTAAGGTGCTGTGGAGGAAAAGTGGACTAATATCAAGTTGTAAAAATTTATCATCGATTGAGTCAGATATCTAGGGTTCATGTTGCGCGTCCCAAACCAAAGCTTTTCTGGTGAGATTGTTGTTGGCTGATATAGAGGAGGGGGTGTGAGCTAATCACCACGTAGATATGTGTTTATAGACTGGCCTATCAGTGGTATCGGGGCTTCTCCGCAAAAACACTCAGCTTTTAACATCAGTACGTCATTACGCGTTTACGTCACATCCTGTGTACTTCTGTCCACTTGAACCTACTGAGTAGTAACTGAATTATCATTTGTTATTATTCATCGATTGTTCTTTTTGGTTCCTAGTAGAACATACGGCTTCGACCGGAGCACATCTTCACTTTGCCCTTTTCTCTGCGGTGCTCTTCACCTGGACCCACATTTGTCAGTAGTCTTTCGTCTCCTCCACTTATCACGGTCCTCTCCATGTCACCCTCGGAGTGCTGCATAACTCGTTTTCCCCCCATTCGGGTTATACTCCAGAGATGACTTGGAGCGCAGTGTCACCCAACGGTCTCCCCAGCACATGTCCAATTGATCTCCATTTTCTTCCACATATTTGTTGGGCGATAAGTTCTTAGTTGGTTTGTTGTCAGAGTTCTTTGCTGCGTATCTATTCTGAGCAACTTATTTGCAGTATCAAGATAGGAAAGATAGTTGATGGAAGTCTAAAGTAGACTGTAAGAAATGCTTTTGGTAATGAGTGTGGCAACTTCTTGGTCCATATAGAACTGACTGGCTTAATATTGCCGTTGAAAATTCAAATTTTATTCTTAATGCTAAGGTAGACTGAGGGAATTGGTGTCCCTGAAATTTATTCTGTTAATAGTGATTGGTGCTTGTTGTTACTGTTGGTAGTGGTTTGTTATTCCCATTACCCCCGTTTTCTCTACGTTAAATTGAACTTCTGTTTTCGCTGGCTCGTTCTTCTGCCAGTTTGTTGGTTTTCGCCTCCAAATCCTTGAGTTTGTGTGACATTACACATAAATCATTCGCATCATGTAGAGATCTTCTACACTCCTACGTCCAGCGTATTCCCAACTTCTCACTGCAGATGAGTTCAGCCAACTTAAATTATTATTGCCTTGTCTTGCCATCCCATGATATAACATAAATCTCCTATATTTTCACTATACATAAGTGTATGTGTGCGCGAGTCAGTTAAATGCTCAACTAAGACAAAAATTAAGATTTTTTTATTGAAATTGTGTTCATCAGATGATAAAAGAGAAAACACCATATTAAACTTACTACTGGAAGGCTGGATAAGACGATCCAAGTGGACAGAAAGAACTGGGGTGCTTGGTGAAGCATTATTATCAGAGGAATCCACCACTGTAGACCAAAAATCAATTGAACCATTCGCATGAGCAGCAAGCAACAATGGACTAGATGGGTGTAGTGCAATCGACCAAACTGGAGAAGATGAACCTATGAAGAAATTAAGAGGAGGAATGCATTTATACATTATTTTTGTGTGCACATATTGTTAGAGGATAAGGAGTCATCTACATCATATAAAAAATCTGAATCAAGACGTATGAGAACATTGATGAATAATCTATGAAGCAGTTGGAAAGGTTAACATTCATTGGACTACAGAACGTGGTATTATATTACACCGCTAATATAATGAGCACTGTTTAAGTAAACTGAAACCTACAAAACAAATTGATAACTGGAACGTTTAACATGCTAATTACAAGGTTTGAATTTCCAAAAGTATTTCTATGTACGGTTTGAAGACTTCAGATGAGCGGCACCGAAAGCATTGGTATACGAGCTCGCCTTGTAACCAGAAGGTCCTGGTTTCGAATCCCGGTGGGTGCATACTGCTGAAGAGTCCCAAAGTAGGACGAAACAGCTGTCCAGTACTCCCAGGTTTTCCAATGGTTCTCTAACTAATGTCAGCTCATGATGAAATCCTGAAACCAACCAAATCCCTACAAACCAACACTTAATTGCCATATTTCTTGATTTGAAGGCGGCCCTCGACTCCGTGGATCGAAAGGTACTATGGCAATGTCTGACTGTGAAGGGAGTGCCAAGAAAGTACATTGCACTAATCAAGGCACTCTATTCAAACTCACGTAGTCGTGTCAGGGCTTATGGGGAATCGTCATCTGAGTCGGTAACAACCAGTGGTGTCCGACAGGGATGTCCACTTTCCCCATTTCTGTTTAACTTCATCACAGATATCCTGATGGAAGTATCCTTAACTGAACGAAACGACTTAGGAATCGACTTGTTACCAGGGTATAGTCCTATGGAGTTAGAATATGCAGATGACATAGTCCTGTTAGGGGAGGATTCTGACAAAATGCAGAGTCTTCTGAAAACCTTGAGCAGCAATCTTCGTATGTTTGGCATGCGATTCGCCCCTGTTGTAAAATCTAAGATGCTGCTACAGGACTGGACCACGTCAACTCCTAACTTAGTGATAGGGAGTGAAGTGATAGAACATGTTGACCACTTCACCTATTTGGGAAGTTGTATTAGCACCAACGGACTGATTGGTGATGAAATCTCAGCACGGATCCAAAAAGCTCGAGCTGCTTTCGCTGACTTACACCATCTCTGGCGTAGGCGTGACATCCGGTTATCAACCATGGGATGTGTGTACTGCTCAGCAGTTTGCTCCGTCCTTCTCTCTGGATCTGAAACACGGCCAATACGCGTTGAAGACATGAAAAGGTTGACTGCTTTCGATCATATATGTCTGCCATCTCTGTCTCACGTTAGGTGGTTTAATAAGGTGAGTAATGGTGACGTTAGGCGTAGAGTGTTGGGCAAAGAGGGAAAATCAATCGACGAGGCTATAAAGTTACATAGACTAAGATGGCTAGGTCACGTGCTGCGCATGCCTAACCACCGCCTCCCCCGACGGGCATTGCTAGCTGATATAGGTGCAGGTTGGAAAAAAGCCAGTGGTGGCCAAACAAAAACATGGCATCAATCCATGAAATCCTTGACAGTTAAACTGAGTTAGGTAGGGAGATGCAGACTTCCGTGTTGGGGCCCTCGGGACTCTAGGAATCAATGGCTGGAGACAATAGGTGACATGGCTCAAAATCGTTGTCAATGGCCAGCGCAGATGTATTCAGTCTCTGTAATCTTTCATATTCCTTTCTACCATTACCCATTCTGTTTCACTCTTATACTTGTCAAACTCTATTGATTCTCTTCACTCATGAGTCCGAGTGGGAAACGACAAAATGGGAACATTACCTAAGGTGTCATTTTGACCACATTTCATTTGAATGACATAGATGAATTTGCACGGAATGAAAGGTTATGGGTGATCGTTGAGCCAGCTGAAAGGGTTAAAACAGAGAACAGAGTGAAATTGGAGATGTGCCCAAACTGAAGATTTCTTCTTGACAGAGATACCTGAAACAGAGGTAGCACTAATAGTGCTGTGTGAGCGTGGAGACCAAGGTACATGTACATAACTTTCTGAAACTGGCCACGCACAACCTATGTGCAATTTTTTGGGAGTTTTGTCTACATTTAAACCTAACTGTCATCTACACGCTTTCGCAAAGTCAAGATAATAATAATAACAGCTTTATTCCCAACGGTATTTGTGATACAGGTATGGAATTTTCAGTGTGCATTACAATATGTTGCATCTAGTTACCTCATAAATTTTATAAGGTTTTAAAATCAAAACGCACACACACTTCAAAAAAAGATTAATAAATAAAATAAAAAGAACAGCGTCGCGTTTACATTTTAAACAATTCGCCACAGGATATGATATATAAAATTAGTGTGTAGTAGAAGATGAGGACAACATTGCAATAGTAACGAGGAAAGGAAAACAAAAACTTATGGAACTATTTGTTTGAGTGCCGCAGTAAGTTGATAGTGTCATACCTAACAGATTTCCCATCACATAACAGCTGTGACAGATATGGCATTGTGGAGTTTTTGTATTTGGTAGTCCTACCATATAGCCTCCTATAGCTGCTTCTAGTTCTACCAGATGAAATACAAGAAGACAGCTGCATATAGAGAGGATGCTCGGGGTCCGACAATATTGTATTCGCTAAGGTGGGGCTTACTGCTTAACTGAGGGAAACACCCTAATACCATTACATCCCACTATTCGCCAGCAGTACAACTTCGCTCACAAACTCCCAACACTACGATGGTGTCTTTTAGTCTAAACGTGATCTAAACAACCTTTTTGGACCTGCAAGAACACACTAGTTACATCTCGTGTAGCCCTTTGGGTGCCGGTGGCTGCAATATGCAGCCCCGACCACCACCACGTGTCTAAGTAAGACAGACGAATCTAAGAACAACACTAACAAATGTCGACAACTTACTGCTAAATACTGGCCCAGTTTCCACATCCAACTCTTGGGGTGCGAGCAAATCGATCGATTCAAGACTACCGGATGCAATAGCAGTAGATGGTAGACGCCATCCACGGACAGTACCATCCAGACCACCTGAATAAACGATAGTTGTAGCCAGTGTTGGTGCAAGTACTGGACTTGGTGCAGCAAGACAGAGGACAGGGCCTTTATGACCACAATAAACACGAAGTGGGGATAATTCATCAACTGCAGCTGAATGAGTGTTGACGCTACCTGACCGCCCTGGGGAGAGAGCCTGAGAAAAGAAAAGGAAACGGGATTTGAAACACTAGTTATAAAGAAAACAGGAGACGATGATAAACTTAGTAAAATTAACTATTTTTTATATTTGAAGTGATTTGGCAAAAGTTATTCGAAAACTTGAAAACATTTACTTATTTATCGATACGAATTCGTTTAAAACAAGCAACAAATGTTAGTTAATGAAGCAGGATGAAGCTGTGTGCCACAAAGGCGATGACACACAAGAAGTGGTGGTTACACACACAGGCTTGTTGAAGCTATTAGAACTTATTATGCTGCGGAGCCTGTGTTTCTTAACACCATTAAGATGATTCATCATCATTAAGAAGGTTCTTCAACAATCTGGGAAAGAAAACGTGCTCAGCGAAATGATTTCTTTTTTAAGCAATATCATTTCCAAGCAGTACAATCCGAGCGATGCTGGGGACATCACTCGTACCAAATTCCCAAGAAACTTCATGAACTCTCTTACAAACAACTATACTACCAATAGAAATATGGAGTGATGACCGCTACTTTCACAGACCTATTTAGTGGAAATGCCTATTGACAGTGACCATTCACATAGTTCTCTCTCTCCCGCTCGCCTTTGGTTCAGACTGTCGTATAAATATTTTCAGTACAGTCTCTATGAAAGACATGATGCGGCCAACAGTGAATAGACTTCGGTCTCCCATGAGAAATCCTCACGCGCGGTAACCCGTTCACAGTCTTTACAAACAGTTAATCCGTAATCACTCCGTTCAGGTGGCTTTGGGAATGTTCCTCACAAAAGTGAAAGGGCTACCTAGCTAGGAGAGAGAATAACTTGACCATTACAAACCCAAGATGTGTATATGAGCTTCGGGATCAGAAAGGATCGAATGGAGTATATGAAACGGTTTTCGGTTACCGTCAACCACTGGGATGCAGCTCCACTGCTTTGTGCATCAAACTTCAAGTCAAATGGAAGCAGATGGCCCTTTGCTTCGATTCAGATAACAGGGCAGAAAGTATCCTAGTTCCCACACAAACTTTTTCACTTCATGTGGTGAGTATTTAAAGTGACCATAACGTACTAAGTTTTAATTTTTTTTAAATAAGTAAAAGTACATAATGAAAATTTAAATAACAAAAAGCAATAACACCCACTGTGCCAGAAATTCCACTTTTCAATAAATTCCAAAACATAACACACCCATCTTCACTAGCTGTGTAAACAGCACGTTCAGTTGGGTGAAATGCCACACTCCTAATTCCGTCGAAATGTCCCCGAAGTGTATACCTCTGCACCCATGGTCGACGTCCAGTCGATAAGTTTGATGTGGCACTAGCTCCATGCAGCACATCGGTATGTGCCTCATGACCACCAGTTGGATCATAATTACTTGTAGGTAGCGTAGTCGTGTTCAAATCACAAACTTCACCATCTATGAAGACCAAAAAAAGAGATAACATATAATAATATAGATATACATAACGAGAATGATCCAAATAGGGGGCACGTGTGTACCGGACAGTAGCAGTTCACTCTACCCTCTTTTGAAGCCATGAGATGCGGCTATTGAAATTGAAGATAGTGGAAAGACGCTAGCTAGCTATCTTCGATCACAGATGCCAGCGTTTCATCTCTCGTGCTAGGTGGTATGATATGGTGAATAACCGTATTGACGTTAGGCATAATGTTAGATGAGAAAGGAAAGTCGATCGATAATGTTGTGAAGCAGCTGCACCGATTGAGGAGATACACGTGTTACGTGTGCAAGCTGAGACAATCCGGAGACAATAGGTGATATAGCTCGAAATCACATTCAATGACCAGTATCTCCCTTATCCAGTAAACCCTAAAGTTCTTCCCCGACCTTACTATTCTTTTCCCCTTACACTTCTGCATATTATCTCTTTTTCCCCTTTTTTGTCCTCTGTGTGCTTCAAGGAGTGCGGTAACCTGAACTGCTGAACCTCTGTCCAAAGTTCTATGCTGAAACCAGTCAGTTAATAAGCAAGCTGAGTCAGCACGCCTTTCTCGACGAGAAATTTTACGTAACATAGGATCAGGTTAGAAAAGTGGTCAGACCAAAATCTAACATCAATCCATGAAGTTCTGTGGCAGCTGATCTGAGCCAGACATCTTGGAAGATAAAAACTACCTGACTAGTTGGGAACCTTGAGGTGCTAAGAACAACGGGTTGGAGACTATGGATGATATGGCACCTCTGTGCAAAGTTTTATCTGGACACTCAGTCAGTCATATCATTAAGTATGGGTATATCACGCTCAGATATAGACAGTGAGATGGCATTCTACTCGTTGACGACGTTCAGAAAGCGATATACTCTAAAGAGTTTAAAATGTTTCCTGCAATAAAAAGTTAACAGATTTGTTCTTAGAGTGGTGATACCTCAGTGGCAAGTTCCGCGATCAGAGAGAGTAAGCTTAACCCGTAAGGTAGACAATTCAAAGTCTTGGTGTGTACAGAGTGGAATGAAAAGACAGTGATTACCCAATACAGTGGATGGAATTCAGATGATCAAAACATTAAGTCTAATATGAAAATCAAGCGAGAAATGAAGAAGGTGGGCAATAAAGTGATGAAATCAGGAAACAAAGAGTGAACTAAGTAAATAGGCCATACCAGCAGGATATTGTCCAGAAATATCAGCATGGTTGTCAAAAGAAAGACGTGGAACAGTCAAGAGCCCAATTTTGTAGCATAATATTACTTCTGGTCATGCAGCATTTGTCAGCAGAAGCTACTTTTAGAGTCATATACATAAGGTACGACCAAGTCGTTCAAAAGAATTTCACCTACATCTTCACACAGCCGAACAGTTAGCAGCAGTTCATATGGAGAAACCTGAACTTTGTGTTCACAAACATTTATCCAGCCTCTTTTATCGCCATGACCTTAGTATTATCTTTCCCTTCTGTTTCTTTCTTCTTTGTCTTATTGAATAACTGTATGATAAGATGTATGCAGTCCGTTTTATGTTTTTTGAAACTCATTTTCAATGCTTCACTTCCTCACCTCTTATTTAATATTTTCACACTATTATTATTCTGTCTGTGTGTCTGTCTGTTTTCGACATAGAACTTTGCACAAATGTGCGCCAGTTCAAGTCGCCACATTCCGTGTAGCACGCGAAGCAAGAGAAGAAAGTACAAGAAAAGCATAATAGAAACAGTGAGCAGAGGTGTGAGACAAAGGAGTAATAAAGAAATACAAAACAGTTTCATTGGAAATCATAAGTCACAGGGAGTGGATGCATCTGCGCCACTGAGAACGATTTTGAGCCATGTCACCAATTGTTTCCAACCATAGATTTTTACCGTCCCGAGGACCCCAACCAGTCTGGAAGTCTACACCTTCCTATGTGGCTGGCTTAAACTAACTGTTGTGGATTTCATTGACTGGTGCCAAGTTTTTGTTTGACCGCCGCTAGCTTTTTTCCAGCCTGACCCTATATCCGCTAACATTGCTCGTCGAGGGAGGCGATGGCTTGGCATACTATTATTAATCACCTATCGGGCAAAAGTTCGACACAGATTAAGCCAATAAAGGACGACAATGGAAAGTCAATCACCAAAGAGGTGGAACAAAGAAGACACTGGGCTGAACACTTCAAAAGACCTCTAAATCGTTCACCACCTACAACACGCCCAACAATACCAACAACGGAAGCAGAACTACCAGTGAACATCGACCCCCCGACGAAATCAGAAGTCCTGAAGGCAATCAAGATGCTAAAAACCGGAAAAGCAGCAGGACCAGATGGAATCCCAGCAGAAGCTTTGAAATAGACCCAGAGACAACAGCGGACTTGATGACACCACTACTGGAGAAGGTTTGGAAAGAGGGCAAAGTACCCGAGGATTGGAAGTACGGATACTTATTCAAACTGCCAAAGAAAGGAGACTTAAGTCAATGTAAAAACTGGCGTGGAATTATGCTCCTGTCCATTCCAAGCAAAATACTGAGCCACATCATCCTGGAGAGAATCAAACACGCCAACCTGGATGCAAAACTTCGACCGGAAAAGGCTGGATTCAGGAGAAACAGGTCATGTATTGATCAAATCGCCACTCTACGGATCATCAATGAACAAAGCTTGGAATGGAAGTCACCTCTCCACCTCATTCAACTTCATCGACTTTGAAAAGGCCTTCGACAGCGTCGATCGAGAGGTCATTTGGGAACTACTTCGCTACTACGGGGTCCCATCGACAACTATACATCTCACCCAACAGTTATACGACAATGCTGCATGCCAAGTAATCCACAACGGGAAACTTACGGAAGCCTTCGAAGTGAGGACGGGAGTGAGGCAAGGCTGTCTACTATCGCCAATGATCTTCCTGATTGCAGTAGATTGGATAATGCGACAGACAACGGCAACCAACGAGGGAACAGGCACAAAATGGACTCACACAAAGGATTTGGAGGATCTGGACTTCGCCGATGATATATGTCTGATCTCCCACAAACTGGAAGATATGCAAGTGAAAAGCAACAAGTTGACAGAAGAAGCATCCAAAGAACTTAGGACTTCAGGTGAACATAGATAAAACAGAGGTGATGAAGATTCCTGGCCAACACCAACAGCAACAACAACAGACAATCAGTAGGCATAAATGGGAGAAACCTGAAAGAAACAATATTTTTTTATTTATTTAAACGCATAAAAAACTTGGTACAATATGGCACCAAGAAAGATGCGCCACACAATAATAATAAAACAACATAGATCAAAAAAAGGAAGGAAGGAAAAGAAAAAATATATATAACAAGAGAACGGATAAAGAACTTCATCTGGAAGGAAAACAGTCATGCTTAACAAGTTCAAACAGTGTTCGTTAGCTATCATCGGGAAGGGAAGAAAGAAGGAAATCGCAACACATTCGCCACTGATTACGATTCTTGGCCATATCCGATAACGTTTCGAGCCATCGATTTGAGCTATCTCTCGGACCCCAACCAGGGAGTCGTGACACACCAACCGATGCTAATCTAGCACAAAAATCCTTCATCCCACGACGCCACGTCATGGACTGACCACCTCTCCGCCTTTTCCATCCCGTCCCAGGGCTAGCGAACAGAGACCTGTACGGAAGCCTCTGGGGTGACATTCGGAGCACATGTCCAAGCCACCGGAGCCGGTGTTTCCAGATGACGACATTCAATGAATGGTGATCTCCACTTTGTTCAAACACACGCCGCCGAACCTCAGAATTACTCACGCGATGATGCCATCGAACGCAAGCAATCCTGCGGAGACAGCGGTGATCGAACACGCAGAGTCGCCGCACATCCTCAGCTCGGAGAGGCCAGGTTTCACAGGCGTAGAGCAGGACAGCCCGCACCGAAGCATTGTATACCCGACCTTTGACAGCCAGGCTAACGTCGCGACGGCGCCAGAGGTGGCTCAAGTTGATGTATGCCACCCTAGCCTTCATTATACGGTTGGAAATCTCATCCGTCACCCCTCCGCCAGCACTCACACAACTACCCAGGTACACAAACTTATCAACAACTTCAAGCGGTTCACCCGCAAGAGTGAGTGCAGGTACAGGCTCCTGCCAATCTTGTAACAGTACTTTGCACTTAGACGGCGCAAAGCACATACCATACTTACAGACACTGATCGCCAACTGATTAAGTGCGATTTGGGCAGCCTGCATGCTATCGCACAGTAAGACGATATCGTCTGCATACTCGAGGTCGAAAAGTCTATCTCCAGGTAGCAGATCTACACCACCTTCACGCACATCCTTCAGAGCTGACTCCAGAATGTCATCGATGGCAAAGTTAAAGAGAAATGGAGAGATTGGGCAACCCTGTCTAACCCCACTGTTGGTTGGGAACAGTGGTGATAGTTGGTTGTATGCCCTCACTCTACCTGAGGTGTTTCTGTATAGGGCTTTCAGGATGTTAACAAATTTCTCAGGTACACCTCTCTCTAACAGACAGTTCCAGAGCACAGTTCTGTCCAACGAATCGAAGGCAGCCCTAATATCAAGAAACACAACGATCGTTGGCCTGCAATACGTGTGGCGGTGTTCCAACAACTGACGAAGGGTGAACACATGATCAATGCATCCACGACCTGAACGAAACCCAGCCTGCTCTTCGCGAATCAATCCTTCACGTATTTTGCACAGTCTGCGAAGCAAGACAGCAGCCAATATTTTAGACGCGACTGGTAACAGACTGATACCCCTATGATGTTCATCTATACTACTTTGAGGGTTGCTGGCGATAATGGTTCGTTCCACATTCTGATATTTCAAAGAAGTAGCAGGTGCTACTAGTTTTCTCGCATCAACGCTTAGAAGACGTCTTTTACGAACCCCACCAAATCGCAAGACGAACTTGGCACACACTAACGCATGATCGGAGTCCAGGCATGTGCTCCAGAAGGAGCGACAGTCT